GTTGGTGACGCATTCTAACATACTGTATGTCAGCCCATTTCTTATCTCAACAGAAGCACAAAATCATTGAGACAGGGCTCCCTTTGATTCGGTCCTTTTCCCAAGAGTGCAAGCGCCAATTTAGTCCAACTTTTTCCTTATCGTGCCACCACAATAATTTAAATTTTCGTCGGTAATAAGAAATTTAAACAAAAAGAACCTATTTATTACAATGAGCCAGATTAGGTGCAGAGCGAGGGAACGACTTTTTCCGTCCAAAGCAAAGCTCCATCCAGAGATTTGAAAGTTAAACCGTGTCACTTTTGGACAAAGAACACAGGTTTGTCACTGTGGTTCGGCTAGTGATTGAAACTTGTGCGTTTCCTGCTTAACCTTATTAGGTGAGGCCAGTGCTGCTTCAGACTGCTAGCTGCGAGTTTCACCGAAACCCTTACACCGCTTGCCTCACTTCATCCTTCGACCCTCTGCCACGGGCATGGACAACACCTCTCTTCCCGCCACGGTTGTCTCGGAGGGCGTGCCCGGAGAGGGCGGGGAGAACGAAGATGACGTCGTCTTGCGGACCATCTCGCCCATCCTCCTTGGGATCATGTCCTCCCTGGCCCTCATTGGCGTGGTGCTTGCTGTGGCCTTCTTAATCTTCAACGTCAGATATCGCCAGAGCCGGTAAGACATTATGGTAAAATTCCTACATGCCTATCAGATGGGCTGTCACGAAGCGGTGCACATGCTTTTATACCTGTACGTTAAAACCTATGCAGACTGCTTGACCAAAAATGATGTGAAGACGCGGGTTCATTCCCTGCAAAAACTGTCGTTTTAAAATCAACACTTTTTAGTGTTATCAGATGACCACACCACAGGGTGTTACTTTAACACCACTGGTGTTACTTTGCACACATCTAAGTGTAACAATGCACTGGAGGGTGTTCAAAGTAACATAACACCAAAATTTTAACACTAGTGAAAAGTGTCGGTGTAGTCCTCTGATAACACCGGGGGTGTTAAATATAACACCCCAGATTTTTCAGTGTTGAGACCAGTTGCACACTTGTAGATATTATCTATTTTCAGGAGAATTAATTCAGAAAGTGATGGCGAGACAGTGTTTATTGTTTTGCTAATGAGAGAACTATAAAGAGAATGGCGTACATTTCTGTTGGTGTTTGGCTTGAGGGTGCCACGAGAGGCTTAGATTCGGCAATTTAAAAAAACCAGAAACGGCGTTTTTGTTTTTCATTTATTCATTAAATTTTTTAATGAAAAGGGGATATTTAATTCTGCAATGGATGTAAGTATGGAATGCTACGCGCTATGCCCTAGCCACTACCCTGCGAAGTGTGCTTGTTATACTTTTGATTTATCGGTGTTGAGAAGAATCATTCTCAAAACCGACTTGTAATAACCCTGAAACTATGGGGCCTTAAGAACCTGCAAAAGGAAGAGAAAATGAAGGGATAAAAAGACAAGTTCTGTGTTGGAGAAATCCCGCATATGTGTACGGATTACGATCTTAATGTAACAACTTCTTGAAGCATGTTTGACGTTGGCACCGCCGTATAGTGGATCGATCGTGAATCTCTACGGGAATTACTGGCTTAATTAGCCATAAACTCAAGAGCATGTTTATTGATTGGGCGAAATGACAACGCCGGACGTACGTTTTTGAGAATGTGAAAGTAGACATCTGCCATCGTCACTGCTTGATCGTGCCTAACTCGCCCTCTGCACATCGCTGCGGCTGGTTCACTGTTTGAAATGAACGAGCAGATTAGCTCCACAAAGTATAACAAAGGCAAAATATAGTATCAAAACACTGAATAAAACCAAATTTTGTTGAATAGGCTATAGTATAGTAGTATTTGTAAGGCAGAGGTAACAATAAACACGGATTTTACCAAAAAATACCAAGTTTCAAACGAGATCACAACAATCAGTTCTTCCACAGATCGATCATCCATAGTAGGCATTTTTTTATATACAGGAAGGGAAAAATCCTGAGAAAACTTGCATTCCGGCTACGTTTTGAATACTGAAATCACAGGTATCACGTGATGATATTGTAATTAAAGAGGCTTTCTCTGTGTAAGGTGTATCCGCATTAATTGCTAAAAATAATAATTAGTGCATGATATTACGCTCTCTCCAGCACCAGCATATTTCATACCACATTTCACCTTATTTCAAAGCGATAAAATGCTAAAATAACCTGGGAAACTCCAGGATCTTTGGCAAAAACTTCTCCTTGAATTGGTGCTATGATTGTTGTGTTTGTTTCCAGCCTCATAAAAATGTCAAGTCCAAACCTGAATATCCTTATCGGCGCCGGCGCCATTTCCATCTACGCATGTGTGATGCTGTTCGGAATCGACGCAGGAGTTACGTCATCTAAAGTCGCGCTGGAGGTTCTTTGCAAGGTGAGTTTATACAGTTGTTAAAATGGTGGTGTCAGGGTTATTTCTTCTTTGATTGGCCTGTGGTCAGTGACGTCGATTGAGCATTGGGACATTTTTCATTATGCTGTATTTTAAGAAGTACCGTTTTTTTTACAATTCATTTAGTTTTTAACCTGAATTTGAATTCATTAAAGCCCATCTTTTCTACCTTGGGCTGAATGTTAAGTGAAAACAGGCCAAACAAACTTATGTGCACTCAGGAAAAAAAAGAAATTCACGCAGACGTGTTTAAGCCATTTTCGATTTGATTCTTCAAATTTTGAGAGTTGTGGCACAGGTCCGCACCATACTAGGCCGCATGCGCACCACGCTACAGCCAGCAAGGTTCTGCATATCATACAACTTCCAACACAGACAACAGGACTCTAGAAAAACATCCGGAAGTCCTATCTTAATACACACCTGTGTTGCTATTAGCTATTGGCCAGTGGTGTCTTCAGGTCTTGGGTTGGGAGTCGGTTGATCATTACTTTTTTTTTCCTGAGAAAAGAATCCTCTTTATATCACAGCCCCCCCCCAAAAAAGGGGGGTAGTACTGTTTCGAAAATGCTGTCACTTTTGCCCCGCAACATATCTAGAGGGCGTCTTGTTCCCAATCGCCCCTAATTGAGATACGCGACTGCTGTTATTGGACCTTCATCGAATTAACGAACTCCCCCAACAAGATTCGTACAAACCAGGCTGTAAAAAAAAGAAAGAAGAGGAAAATTAATAGCTTCACAGTTATGGTTTCCATATGGTCGTTTGTAACACAGACAGTCCACAACACGTGAAGACGCAGACACAAACGGAAGAGACGGTTCATGACGTCATTCCACCCCAAAATTGAAACAAAATGGCGTCCGAAACTCCGTAATTTTTTTGGGGCGGAAAAATACTTTTTCAATTGACTTTATGCGTGATGCCAAACCTGTACTCCAGTTTCAAGCACTTCATTGACAGTCAGCTATTTAGTTGATCATAAAGGTGTAATATTTTCATTAAGGAGAAAATAGGCAAAATTCGTGGAAATAAGCGAGAGGAACATCGCTGCACGCCGGTCACGCCAGGATGCGTGTTTGTACGGGGATACCACGGCTGCTCTACGCAGACAGTCGGCAAAGTTGAACCTGGCTTACCTTTGCCGATCGTTCACGGGCTGGTTTGCGTTTGTCTGCGTTGTCGGCGACACCTCCGTTTGGCATGTTTCCGTGTGTCTGCGTTGCAGTTTGCGTCTTATTGCGTTGCTCTCTGCGTTTCTAACGTAAATATGGAAACCAGGTTTAACGGAAGTAATAGAGAGAGTTAACTATACTGCAGGATGCTTAAAGGATAGCTGCAATCAATTTGTTTTAATACAAACCTTCAAAATCAACCTTTGCGTCTCAGCAAACCTTATTTCCAACTTTTGTTTCACTATTTCAAAGGGTACTTTTGCTGCCTTTGTGGTTTTATTCTAATGACATTTCCATATTCATGAGCATAACTATGATATCATCCCAGGAAGAATGCCTAAATGTCGTGTGTTTTTGAAGATTTTGCTGGACTAAATTTTTTTATCTGCTGATTGTTGTTTATGTGCATAGCAATAAGTGAGTATACCAATGGTTTTCTCAGAAATGTTTTTTAGTAAGTAGATTCAATTTAATAGAGAAAGTGGACAGTCTTCACTGGATGACATCATGGCAACAGCGCCCTCAGTTGTCCTGGAAAGTATTGATAATTTGAATGTTTAAAAAGTGCACTTTTCAGTGAATTTAACCAAATGGGAGTGCACAAGAATGTTCATACATTGAAGAAGAGCGCGAAGTTGGGGAAAAATTGTGTCTTAGAAAACGTCACTGCCACTACCCTTTAACAGTAAGCACTGCACATCTCCTGAGTGCGAACAGTACTTTGCCAGACCTTGTCAAGTGCTAACACCTTTTTCCGTTGCCACAAACGGGTTTGGTGGCAAAAAGACCCCAAAAGAAGCAATTTCTAGCCATTAAAATTAACCTAGTTATAGAAGTCTATTCGTTTCAACTAAAACCAAAACACAAATAGTCAGACAACAAGGTGTCGTTCGACGTCCTGGCGCAAGGTGCTCACATCCGGCCCGGTGTGCCGAAAAGAGACTGCGCACTGGCGGGCCGGCGTTGGTCCATTTCCTAAGCTTCCTCTTGAACAGGGGCTTCAAAAGGAAAACTGAAGACACTTCAGAAATGGTTAGTATCATCATCACTCGCTCGTGGCAAGCTGCATTCACGGGTCGGCCAGGATGTAGAAGCGTATGGGAAGCACGAGATAATGAGAGAAACGCTGCGGCAGGTGGAATAGTGTAACCAGTTCCGTCAGCAACCTTGGTCGTTTTTAAAAATTAATTAAACGCCAGGGTTTGTGTATTAGTCAGGTAATCTGATAAGGTGTGGTTGATCGATATGTGAAACAAATACACTGTTAAAGATAAGGTTTAATTGATGTTTATATTGCATGTTTTATACAATTGAATTGCATGCCGTTTATCACTCGCTTTGATTGATGATACTGAATTTATTACCCCCCCCCAAAAAAAAACAAACAAACTGGTCTTTTTATGGGAAAAAAACAACAATTTCACACGAAGTCCATTCCTCAGCTGTCTAACCATTTTTTTGCGGTAATAAGATTGAGTTTAGAAAAGACAGGCCAATTCCAGAAACGAGTTTATACTTGATAGAAAAACAACAATTGACGTTGATGCCGATGAGCCCGGCAGGTGAAATTGTTTCCGGTGGACAAGGTTGGAATTATCCGGACAAATCACGGCATCGCATGACCTGTCCACTTTACTGTGGGGAGCGATATTAAGGATTCTTTCCCCTTGCACTTTAATTTCGCTTCAAATCACCATCAGGAACCATTTAGAAAAGATGTACACAAGATCGACGCATATGACTTGGAGAAGAAACAAAAATCCTCGATCAGTTTCCGGTATAATTTCTTTTTCACATGGCAGTCAGACGAGCTTCAACGACAAAGTTTTATTGAATGAAATGAAAGCGCCAGCACCTCACAATCGCTGCTATAGGGGGCGATGACCCCACCAAGTATATACCACCCATTAATGCATTTAATAAAATGCAACCTTATCTCCGTTAAGCGGGGCAAAATGAGTTGTCACTTTTTCTAGAAAAGAGGATAAAGTTTGCATCCAGCCGCCCATATCTGGGCTTAATGATTCTCGTCCTGACCACATTCCAAAATCTCTTTGTCAACGAATAAACTATTAATTTCAGGGGGTCATTTTCTCCAACCCTTTATTTCAGTTGTGTGAACTCATCCTGTGTTAACTTTTATAATTATTCTGTGTGAACTTAGTCTGTTGACTTATTCTGTCACAGGTCCGTGTGTCGCTGATCACCTTGGGCTTCACGCTGGTCTACGGCTCCATGTTCAGCAAGGCGTGGCGGGTTTACAGAATATTCGCCCACGCGGCTGCCAAGCGGATGGTGAGAACTCGGATCTTTGCGTTTTTTACCTGCGACTGCTTCAACAAAGCAAGAATAGCTATTTCACTTGGAGTATAAAAATTCACACTGGAAGGGTTCACAGCGTTTCTCGAGCTGCCTTAAAGGCCTACTTCAATTCTCTTACCACTGGCTGTCAAACGAGTAAACTTGCTACCGTACGTTGGTGTTGTTTGGGGAGGTGTAAGAGAGCTTAAGGTTGAAGTGAAAGTGTGACGGCACTCTCCACCTCTCGTTATTCCTTGTCTATCGGTGAGTTTGTCTATCTCAGTTTTTATTCCCCTTTCTTGGCTGTTACAGGTGATTCGAGACGGTCGCCTGATGAGCATGGTGGGCGGATTGCTTGTACTTGACTTCGTGGTGCTAGCGCTGTGGCTGATTTTGGACCCTCTCAGTGTCAAACTGACAACGGTGAGCTCAGACAAAGGCCTTCGTACACTTTGAGTCTGACAGGCAGGGACAAGGGATCAGAGAATACAGAAAACCCTGCTGAATTCCAGTTTAACAGTATGAAATTGATTTAAAACCGTCAGGTAAAGAAGGGTACAGTTGGGTTATTGATGCTTACACTTGTCCGACTGTCATTGCCATTAGATGCTGAATTTAAAGGACCCCTTTCGTTTGAGTGACTGCTCATTTGAGATAAGCTTCCAACTGGACAAAACAAAGTTTGAGTATCCTCTCGCTTTGGAGTCAGTTGTTGATTTACCTACCGGTATCTATATTGTAACATTGTCATTTTAGATTATGAGTATTTTACAATATATGAGTAGGACAGTCCAACATGTTCCAGAGGCTGTGTGGTTACCTTCTGCTTACGTCAAAATCCGCCTAAATCAATCTGATAAGCATGACGTCAGTGATTAGAAGTCGTTTCATCCCTACTTGTAAGACTTCACAGAGATATGGGAATTTTACAAAGTGTGTATATCTTATGTTCACTTCTCATTCAATAAAGATTCAAACAGCTGTTGAGGAGGGCAAAACCTCGTTACCACGGGAGGGCGTCCACGTCTGTCAGTCGCAGTACACGGAGGTGTGGATGACCGTCCTATTCGCCGCCAAGGCGCTCATTCTGCTGCTGGGGACGTACCTGTCCTGGGAGACACGCAACATCACCGTGCCCTCCATGAACGACGCCAAGTGTATCGTGGTCAGCGTCTACACCTGCGTCATCCTAGTCGCCATGGTGACGGCGCTGATGACGATGCTGGAGGCATGGCCAAATGCCTGGTACTGCTGCCTGTCGGTGGTCATGCTGATCTGCCCGACAGAGTTACTGCTTTTGCAGTACATCCCAAAGGTTGGTGAGAGGTTTGTCTATCACGGCTGATGCACTGATGAATTTCCTTAGTAAGTAGTGCCGGGATATTTTTGAAATAGAAAAAGGGCAAATAGATATCCTCGTGACACGTATACACGGCAGGCTAGATCTAAGCGCTGGAAACAATTTGCAGGGGGGGGCTAAATAAAGCCCTTAATTCCATCCAGACTTCCTTTACATTTTCTTGGAAGGCTGCACCGTGCATGCCATAGAACGCTGCACTGCTTTCTTTACTTCATGGAAAAGGCCAACATCGGATTACCATAAATTCAAATTGCAATTGTGGATCTTACATTCCTTACCCATCGTCTGTCCCGATTGACTCTGAATGGCACTTCTTAGAAGGCTTTCATGCCAGCTATTCAGTTTTCATAAGATGAATGGCCGCAAGAAACAAGTCCAGCAGCGCTACATGTATCTCCACCGTATACGTCGGAAATTCCAGCCTTGAGCCACACGCATTGCGTCAAGATAAAACAGGCACACACTGAAGAAAGCCGGGAACAGTCTGTAGTCCAAGATTATACGTCATGTAAACTTTTTATCGCCGATGCCCATTTTGTCTCAGATAAGGGCATGGCGCAAGAACCCCGAGGCAAGCTACAGCATGTCCCGTTCCCTGACCACATCCTACCTGGCAACAGCACGGCAACGCTCTTTGGCCGAGGTGGAAGAGGAACTCTTTCTCCTCTCCAAGGAGAATGCATCCTTGAAGAGGTCACTGTCAGAGGTGAGAGAAGACCTGACAGTCTTCCCAAAATGGGCATAAATGAACCTCTTAGAAATGTGTAGGTGTTCTGCTGCCAGAACCAGAGCAGAAATTCAAAGAAAAAAGTCTTTCTCTAACACAATATTCAGAATTTTCATATTATACTTTTGCTTTTCGAAAATTCTGAATCAATTCTTTCTGAGCAAATAAAAGAGCTTGTCGAGTAGTAATTTTACTTTGACACTCCATACAATTTGGCCAAAGATCTTTGGATATCGTAGATGTGGGAGTAGTAAGCCACAATGTATGAATTCATAATAAAAAAACATACTGCTAAGGAAATGCAGGTGCTGGGCAAAAGGAGGCATAGGAATGACATGCATTCTTACAGGGGTACTAGACGTTGCACGGCATTTTCTTTGGAACTTAGAAGTGTAAGTTATAACACCCCTCTTAGCTTTTTGTTACTGCTTCTAATATTGTCGCCCTCATTTGAATGCAAAAACGTGCAGTCTGAGAATGATGTGCACGCATGATGATAAAACATTGAGCTTGGATGGCAGTTGAGAGCGTTTTCTTCGCGCAGAGCAAAGATGTGAATACACAACCCATTTCCATGATGACGTGTATTCTGTCCAGACATGTATGAACAGAACATGTCTTGGGAGCAAAAAGTTGGACAAGGCAGCATCTCTTGTTTATGCATGGAGCCATTCAATACAATGGAAACCTCTGAATGTCAGTAAAGGAAGATTTTCTTGCCTAATTGTTTTCACAGAGGAACACCACCATCAAAGCTCTCCATGAGCATGTAGGAGCAGCCAAGGAGAAGCTACGACTCCTCTCTGTGGATGCTGACATGCGCCAGGACAGCGGCTGTGACTTTGACATGTCATCGTCCTCTACCTGCCATGAGGACGTCGACAACGTAAGGGTGCGTCCCCCGGATGTGGTGAAGGCCGAGCCGTGTGACGGTGGCGTCAGAGCCAACGAAGGGCCGCCCGAGCAGCAAGACCCGCACAAGCTGTCCCTGAAGTACGCCAACGTAGCCGCGTTGGAGCGCCAGCAACTGAAGCGCCGACACGGCAGAGAAGGCGGAAGCATACGCAGCATCGCCAGCCTGTCCTCCCTGAGATCCGTCAAGGAGTTCGAGGATCTGCGCGAGTCCATCGTCAAAGAGCTGCATCAGGCGGCCGATCTGTCGATGAACCTGCGCGAGGCCATCACGCACGATCTCCACTCCTGCCGCAGCACCCCAATGTACATGGTCATCGCCAACACCGAGAGGGAACTGGCTGGGGTCCTGAAGGACTCCTACAACCTGGACGGTGACAACATCTCCCTCTCTAGCAGCACCTTCACGTACGACAACCCTGTCTTCACGCGAAGCCAGCAGCACAGGCGCAGCCTGGGCAGCATGTGCACCTGCAACAGCCGGCAGTCCAGTTTCAGGTCCCTGGCGGATCTGGCAATGGAATTTTCAGAGACCGACGATCGGGATGTTCCTTCGGTCTCAAGAAACATGCAATGGCCGCAATATATTCCACCCCAAATGGATGGAGATAGAGAATTACCTCGTGTGGTCAAGAGCTCAGAGACTGACACCTCCCCTCCAAAAATGACAAAAAGTGTTTATCACACTTATGTATGATTCTTGGGAGGTAATATGTTGAAAATGATTTATAAAAATGTGGATGCACCATTTTTTCAGCTGAGATTTTATCCTACTGAAGCAGTGATTTTCGCGATGTTATCAGGCATCGGACCCCAACAGGCAGCAACATCAGGGAACTTAATGGTTTCCATTGTAGGAAATGTTTATAGCACAAATCTCGTAACTGTGCAGTGTCATGTCAATTAACGGAGCAGTTTATGAAATACCGTAATGACCGTCATCCGATTGGTGGGAGGCGGATCACGTGTCACGTGAATTATTTGGCATTAATCCTCTGTGGAATCGTCTATTATTCCAATTGATTATACCGTTGTACTGCACCCCGCACTTCGGCTCTTCGCACTCAGAAATCACGGTAGACACGCATATGGTATGCGCGTTGACGGCTGTTCACACAAACCCACTCATTTCCCCCCGCAATCTCACCAGAGCCTGAGAGTTGACCCCCGTTTGTCGCGCTTCCAGGACCCTTGGATAGGAAACATAGCGTGCAAATGGTTCAGAATGTGCAATTTCTTTTCGTTCGTTTAGTTCTCAAATATCACCTCGGAAACGGTATTGTTACGAATACTTGCTAGAATATTGATTTATAGAAACTGAAATTTTACCTGACCTGAAAGGAACATATCCTGCCAAAAATTGACGTCTCACTTCCGAAAATCTAAAACACATGAAGAACAGTGCAATTCAGTGTTCTCATACAAAGAGTAATAATTGACGACATCAAATTCTATGGCAGTCAACGTAAAGATAAAGTGAAAGCAGATCAAAATAAGGAAGGCCTATAAGTATCTTTACAATTGATAAGGAAATAAAATCGTTTACAACAGATTCTGCAGTTTAATGTAAAATTTGCTGATAAGAACGGCGTCAGGTAAACTCGACTGGATCCAGAGCTCATCGACTGCAGGTCGGTGAATCTTTGCAGCCTTATAATATCTCGTTTTCACTCAAAGCAGATGAAGTAAAACGTGCTTCAGCAAGGAGACCTAGGAACGATATTGCCGGAAGTTGAAAGGTCGTAAATAAAAATTGTTTGGGGCAGTCTCCAGGCAACGTTTCCAAAATATTATTTTAGGAGCACAATGTCAAAATTCCGACATGAGTATTTCTTAGGGTGGTTTAAGTCTGGAATCATTCTAAATTTATCGAACGTGGTGGGACAGCTCCATGTAAAATCCCCGTACACGGACGGCTCGAGGGTTCCGGAAGTTCGATCGCTGCGTGACCTATTACTCTCAGGCTCTATAAAAGTGAAAAACCCGGAACATTTTTTTGTCTTCTGTCGGGTGAGAGGCATTGTGTACACTCTTAATTATTGGCTATGCTTTTTATTATACAAAGAAACTAAACTGGCCATCAAACGATTAGAGCAATTGTTTATGTATGAACACAGGGCACAACATGAAAACTGCATTTTCACTTCAGACAGACGAAGTAGAAAAAGCCACTTGCACAAATTTTACGAAATGAGGATTTATTCAGGTGTCATAATGGAATGAATTCTTCACTCATTGTTTTCTATGATAATATTTCACAATTGGGGTACGTGTGCTCCGGCTTGAACGGGGCCATTGCTTTTGCCTTGTCCAATTTTCATAGTTGGCGCAAGTTATATTGCCAATATTTGGCCTTTATTTATTTCAAATTCTGGAATATTTTGATCGTAATTAATCCTACATGTACTTGCGTGTTTGATATCACTATCCAAAGAGACTCAGCAATGCGACTTCAGTGTACAGTACTGTAGGAATCATTAATTTCTTGAAAAACAATGTATCGGACCGTTTTAAGGCCTTTCTAGGTACAGATTTTTAAACAATTGACGGCCGTAGGTATCACGTGTAGCAGATTTGTAACTTTCTTGATCCACTGACTTGGTGTATACTGCCACCAATGGATGCCTGATGTACAGACATACAGGTATTTTTCTACTGCAACCGAGTGACTTTGAAGGCTCCAATGCATTTCCCAGGCAAGAGCAACCTTATTTACTGCTAGACGGTCCAGAGGTGTTTTTATGTGTATATTTATGAAACGTTTTATCGTTGAGTTTGACCCAGATGAGACTGAATAAAATAGTCGGCATAAGATGAAAACGTGTGTGTAGCTACCTTGTGGGTTCAGGGTTTCAGACTGTCACTTTCTTTGTCTTCAATCCTGACTTCCAAGAATCTGTGGTAGGAGTGGATAAAAAAATCTGGCTTGGTGGGCTTTGAAATAACTGACCAGCATTCCTCGGCAACAGGCCCCGAGCTGGACCAAGAGAGGGCGCGATTTCGCTTGCAACGGAAGGTCCTCCAGTGGGAACTGAATCGAGGGTTTTCAAGAACAATGAAACACAAATGCTGCTGCAGTCATATCGCTACCGATATAATTAACACCCCCTCCAGCATGGGCCATGGCTCTTTTCAACCGATGAAGGGGTGCTTCGCTCAAGGCGGATATAACAAGTTGTTCCATAACTAACCAAGACGACTTTGTCCAGTCATTTCGACACCCAAGTTTGTGAGAACCAGACGTATCGTTTTCAAAAGACGCCCAAGACATGTTGGCTAAAAATGTCAACTTCACTCAAATGTGCTGCGCATAAGGGCCGACACACATTGAGAGCGTGGACTATGATTGCATGGTCCTAAAATAACACAGAGCAGATTAAAGCTCGCTGTTAACAACCCTGTCCGACTGAATTAAAATGTCACAGACGTATTCATAATGGATGCCTTTCCATATGTATTCCAAGTTTCAGAATGACTGCTTGCTGGAGAGCCAAGGCCCCTTCCCACTGTAGAAAAGGAAAACAAAAAAATGAAACGAAACAAAAACAAAGAAAAACAAAACAAAACATGGGTCCTACTTAGTTACACAAATAAAGGGAAAAAATCTGTGGTTAATTTGACCCCAACTCCCTGGGGTGTGTGCAAAATCAAATAAAATCATTAAAATTGGAGGATTCAGAGCTGTTAGGGTTAATCCACTTAATAAATTATTTAAAACAAAGATCAACAGATATAACACTCAAGACAAAACAGTACAGCCAAGCAAACATACTTTATCCACATTCCCAGTACATGGGTTTTTATTTCTAAGTTTTCACACAAAACAACTTGCGCCAATTAAGGCTAGGGTTTTATAGGGCTAGGACTTATATTATCCCAAGAGTTCCAGAAACGTTCTTTCTTGGGCAGGTTAAAAACTTTCAAGTCCGTCCGACGTTCGGGTCTGATTTACTGAGGAGCCTAAGAGCAGTGATGCCCAACGATCAAATCTGAGCCTTGTGGGCAATGCCATCGCCACAACTTGAAAGGGCCGCCGATGATGATGATGATGGTTAGGGGGGTGTTCCAGTGTATCCGAGGAGATAAAAAGACCCTGGGTATGGAGCGGGGGTCCACAGGTTACGAAGCAGGGTGGGATGGAAATCACTTCTCGGCAGAATCGTCGGCTCCTTTGGTGTTCCGGGTGTAGATGAGCTGGGAGTGGTGCTTCTCTACCTCCTTGATCATATCTGAGAAGAACAAGGAAAAGGGATGCCAGGAGTTTATGAAGACCGTGGCAAGAGTCCAATCATAGAGGTTCACGGTTGCTGGAAATTGGCAAGTACAAAGCGTGTGCAATAGATCTTATGCACAGGGAAGTCGTTCGTAATCATGTTCCCTGAATCCACGGGCCAATGGGGAGGTGCCAGACTATTTAGGGTTTCATGCCTCACATTCACTTTTTTAAATGTAGCTAAAACACTTCTATCTAGAGTGTATAAAAAAAGGAACCCAAAATTTAAATGGTTACTGTGGCAAAGCTGCACACTTTCTAGTGGAAAACTTGGTATTGTCTCTAAGAACAGAACAAATGCCTTCCAACGATGCCTCATTCGTGATTTCACTGTTACAAATCACTCAGCACCTAAGTGTTGAAATGTAGGCGCATAATTCGGGATGGCTCACTTTCCAGGTCAGTGAAATCAACACTGCTTCTTCCAAAATTGATTTGAGTGACTAAAATATCCTACCAATTACAGCCATGGTATGAAAATACACCTCAGCTTGACTTACTCTTTGCAAGGAGTTCTTTGAGCGCGGCTCGGGCTAGCGACACCCTGATCTTAAGCCTCTCGGAGACCACCGATGGTGTGATCAGCTTGTAGCTGGGGACTTCTTTGTAGAGTTTGTCGTACGTTGCCTTGTCAAACAGGATCAAGTTGTTGAGCTTGTCGCGGACTTTGCCCTTGGACCACTTCTGCTCGCGGGGAAAAAAAACATTTTGGCTTGTTTACAAGAAAACCGGCATGAACTTCTTCATGAAACATCTCATTACATAAACCCTTACCCGTCCAGACTAGACACCCAGCCATATCCAACACATTGCAAAAGACATCCACAAAGCATTCAGCAGAGAAGTTGTGGCACTGACAACAGTACAATACAGTGACCTTTTACAGCTCTGAATAGATTACAAAGGATAGATTTTCTCTCAAGTGAATATCATGTGAATGGTGTTGATACAGGGAAAACCAGAAAGAAAAATGTCAAAATCTGGAAAACGTATGGAATATCACTCCCTGGCAGTGCCCCCCCCCACAACCCCAACCCTTATTACTTTTTCGGTCACTTTATTGGTCATTCTAGAAACTTCAGAGTCCAACGTGTGAAGTGTTTTGTCCCTGTTACACCGGAGCTCTGTCAGTTGATACTAAAATATCCTTGAAATTGACTTCAAAGTATTTTTAGTTTGTTGATCGGCACATTAGTTTGCATCATTGAAGAATGTGTTCTCACCTGACAAAATATAACGTCAGGCATGAAATAATTGGACCCCATATTTATGGAATACATATAACCATAATACAGTCAATTCTTATCAGTAAGAGCTCAGTTCTGCTTACAAGGAAAACTTTGGGCATACATAAAAGGTTCCCATTATCGCAAGGCAGTCTGCAAAGTCTGAAGAGACTTCTTATTAAACCCTAACCATACTGAGCCTAACAGGATCCAACATGAAGTATTTTCTCCTCCTAAACGTGTACACATGTGCACTAGGTTCAGCATTACAGCTGTTGGGTTCAGCGGCGGGGGGGGGAGCATGATTAGGGTAGGGAGTCAGGGTTAGTAAGAGTTTGACCATATTTGGTGTCCCAACACTGACCTTCTTCTTGGCCTTGCCTCCCCCTGATGTGGGCTTCTTCTGGCTGGTCTTAGACTTGCCGGAGTCCTTCCCCTTCTGTTGCTGCTTGGGCGGCTGAGGGACGAAGGAAGGAGGCAGGCAAAAGTCAGTAACCAATTTGCAAGGCAGGAACATCGTTCTCAAAGGGTAAGGCAATTTCTCCCTCGCTACGGGGCACTTGTTTGGGAAAACCGACTTGTCCATGGGAACATTTCAATGGGCATCAAGGCAAAGACCAGGGGGCATCATGGAAACTAAATTTAATGTCTTCATAAAGTTTACAAACAAACACAAATGAACCACAAGCCTGTGAGTGCCCAGGTTTCTGGCTCTCTAGAAATGCAGGCAACAAGGAAAATGGGTGCTGTAATGACGAACCAGAGATTTGAAATTGATGAAATCAACCTTATGTTGCTAACATGTCTCCATAAAGGTATGCACAAATAGGAAAAAAAATGTGTCAGCAAGCAGTGAATAGTTCCCTTGGTGTTAAAAAGGTAATGGTGATCTCGAATGGGGCAAAAAATGTACAACATCTGTGACTTTCTACACACATGCATTACAGCTACCCGAACCAGATCCGTTACTTTTCCACTTAATGTGAAATCCAATCAGACTTTACACTAGGTGGGGAAATTTGGGACCTAGCAACTGTACAGTCACGGACGTATAGATCTCAAAATGAAATTTAGTTGATGGCTGTCTTTTCTTAAGGCATGCAATTTGGACTTTGACAAAAACAAGGATATTCCTATTTTCGCTAGACTATTTGCAGTGTTTGTTCAAGTTTCAATGGCAGGAGTGTGAAGTGAAAAAACGAGGAAGTCAGCTGATCCGAGGAAAAGTGGCATGCCTGTTTTTTACTGCACATTAGTTGGCCTATGGGGCTGAAGGTACGGAGGCAGTCCAGTATCTGGACCACATTCATGGGCAGTCCAAGTAACTTGGACTCTACGAATGGCCTTCTCAAACATTTGGACAGGGTCCGGCAATAGTAAAGTCCAAGGCTCTTCCACATACTTTTGCTCCCACTAATTCATTTCACTCAATGTAGCTTATTTGTTGGTATACCTCAAATCAAAACTGTCTGAATTCACCTCCAAAATGGTCCTTAAACTGTCTCATGCACCTAGCCTAGGATTAAGCGAGAATCAGAGATTCCAATGATGATGGTCAGGTTTACTCACAAGTGGGAAGAGAAGAAAAATTTCCCCTTCAGACATGTCAAATCGGAAACCCTCTCGTCTTCGGGCTCAAAGTCGCTATCTTCTTCATTCAGCGGCTCAAACTGTATGCTAATGTACCTGGAGACGACGTCACGATGCACCGGTCCTGTGCTGAGCTAGCGAACATTCACAAAAAGCATGCAGCGTTGGCACACGCATTGCCACGACTGTTTCCTAAGTACCGCAATATCTACTTTACAACTCAATGTGGTCATACCTAGCTATTAAATGTTTGGCTGCTCAGGAAACAGTTGTTGGCACACATGCACATGTTAAGACGCTCCATGCTTTATCACGTTTATTCTAATTGGTCCGCTAGCTCGGCAGGGATGTCGTGACGTCATCTCCAGACATATTAGCATACAGTTTGAACCGCGGAATGAAGAAGATGGCGCCTTCACGCTCGATGACAAGAGCATTTCTGATTTGAAGTATATGGAAGAACCTTGGACTCTCATCCTACCATGTGACATTCAAATAAGAAAAAGGTAATTTGTAGCGTCCAAGTTACTTGGACTTATTCATGGGCTACTTCCACCGTTATGGACACGTATTTGACTGCAACGTACATCGTTTCACAGGCATCCCACTTTCTTTTCCAAATTTATCCCCTTCTCCCTACTGGCAAACATTACGAACGGCGCCCTCCAGCGCTTCACGTAATTTCATCAAAAAACAAGGACCCTACCAATGCCTACGACGTAGCTAACAAATCGTTCCGATTTCAACGTCCTACGTTTATATTCTGTGAATAAGTTGAGGTAAATACTGCCAGTAATAACCATTTTATCATGTTGTCCCTTAAAACTAATTAGAAATTGCTCATCAAATGCGAAATTTACACAAATGGTTCACAGTTTCCACATACCATTTTGAGACTGCAACTTCACCACGAAAAAGGTCGAATGTCGAACAGACTCATCAGGAACAGCACGTGAAACCCGTTTTTACCAAGACCCTTATCAATGCTGTATATAAATCAATCTAAAATTATCATATATAAAGTATTGATTTAAGTATTTAAAATGAAAAATTTGATTTCAATTTTTTTAAAGAATTCTTTTTGTGAATAATCTCGATATAATAAATTATACATGTACTTTAGTTTAGTATAGTTGAAAGAGTGTAGAAATAGTAGAGTTCAAAGGTTGACTACCCAAAACACGACCCCCGTCTGCATGCTGCATGCTCGCTTGTAATGGTCAGTGCTCGATTGGCACCTTCTTTACGCATGATGCCTTGAGTTAATCAATGTTACGACTATTGTGACTATATATTTATTCTTTGAAAATACGGCAGATGAAGGTAGACCTAACAGTTTTTGATTTTGTTCATCGCATAGATAGACCTCGGCTATATTGCCTGGTTTCCGGACAGTAGGCCTATGCATTATCGCATGCCCAGGCCCACGCCGATCCTACTGATAGGGACCCATAATTCGCACACTTAGTACTTTGACCAAAATTTATTCTTAAATAAACTCATTTTTTATGGCTTCATTCTTGCTTGTTGAAAGTTTGACTAAAATCCTACATGGAATAACATCGGAATTTCGGATGTCACCATGCCCATCATGTGTCCAGGGTCACCATAGTCACCGAATCAGCAGGAACAATGTTGCCTTCAAGTTCAAACGAGTTGGATCAGCTATCTGTTTTCTAGACAATTTCAGTTGGTTCATTTTTTTATTTAGTCTGTAATTTAAGTTTTTGCTTTGGTGACATTTTTCCCAAATTCTCGCTGGAAAAGCTTTTAATTTGCACATACCGGTAGGCCTAGCTGCCCAAAAACCGCCCAAGTGATGATTGCTCGACAGTAAAGTAATGTCAGTGCATAATTTCGTTCAGGAGTTTCACAACGAGAAAGTTGGATGCGCGAATATTGATACGCAGGAATTTAGGGTACTCCACGATATGCCAAATGCTGGTCAACTTGTACTCATGCCAACTCATGTGCACCAACTCGTACACCTACCAACTCGTTTGTCGACCAACTCGTAATGCCAACCAACTCGTACGCGAACCAACCTGTATGCCACATGTATGCAGTTTTATGTATAGTTGACATGGTAAAGTTAATAAGTTTATACACTCCTGATAAAACTATTTCTGCTCTGAGACTCTGAAAGACATTTTCACGTGAAAGATATTTGACGCAAGAGTTTCAGGTAGCTTTTGTTCTCAAGCAGCCCAGACCGCCCCCCCCAAAAAAAATGGAATTGAGATTTTGAAGAATGTTTACATGTACATGTATGTACCTAATGTGCATGACGGTATAGTCACCAGGTCCCTCATTTCGCCACTTACTGTGAAAACCAATGAGACTTGAGAATAGTTGGTGAAATTAGGGACATGGCGACTACGTGTATGCATGCTGAGTGTGTGTAATTTCAGCGTCTTTGCCTGGGGATTTCTGTTTCCTTTCAGGATCTTTTGGATTTGAGAATTGAAATTGAATGTACATGTACATGTATCTGACCCCATGAAAAATGTACATTATTCCTTTAAAAATAAGTCCACCATTCCTCACATCATTGTACTGGTGTATTCACTATCCAGCTTGCAAAAAAACTGGAATTGTCTGAGGAAGAGTTGTTCTGAGAGGTCATACATGTACTGGTATATTTGAAACGTATCGCTGGAAACTTGTACATGTAGCAAGGTAGAGAACTCTTTCCTGTGCCGAGTTCAATTCATGGCCAGTTACAAGCTCCAAGTTTAGGATATTGTACCTGGCTGTTATTGAAGAATGATAATACATGTACTTGTGTGTGATTTTTCATTTCAGCTTATAAAACATGTTAAGTCTGCAGCGTTTGAGAAGTAGCATGACGTGGCAGCTCACAAAGATGCAGTTGGAGCTGGGGTGGTGTAGAGACGTTTTGGGCAGAATATCTTCAGCCCTGCATGCTCATAAATATTGTCATCAGTTATCGTTGCCTGGCCAGAACGTTAGGCCGTACATGTACATGTGTGCTTATGCATGTGCACGGACAGTCGGTGGCAAATTTCAGCTCGTCCCACATTCAAAGAGGCACGCTGCACTTGCAAGTTTTGTGGACAGTCACTGGGGGTGGAAGCAGTCTGGCGCCTTTCTTCACAGTGGTGAGCTAAATGTATTAACCAGGACGGCACAGGAGGATACACCCAAAGGGAAGGACATGGTAACCTTCATCAGAGATGACAATGACTTGGAGAGGTTCTTGGGGCATATCACGGACCTTCTGTCAACTCCCGACTTCTCCAAGGTCAGGATCCCTGTAGAGGAGGCGAAAACCAGAGCCGAGGAGCTGGTGCATAGACTGCTGGAGATGAAAGCTGATCCCAGGAACATCTACGCCTTTCTTTGCTCCAAGCCACGGGTCCTGAGTGCCCAACAAGATGCCCTGATGCAGAACCTCCAGTTCTTGGAGGAGCTGCGCGTGGTGGGGAACCAGGCCCTGCTTGTGTTGGACCGCAACCCCAAGGTCTGGGGTGCCGACGAGGCGGTGCTGAGGGACAGGGTGCGACGACTACGGAAGCTGGGCCTGGTAGAGGGCAGCCTTCAGAAGGTGATCACCAACTGGCCGGCCATCCTGACGCTGAGGAAGAGCAGGTTGAATGGCTCCATTGACATGCTTAGGAAGTGCCAGTTCTCCGGACGCCAGATTACTGCAATTGTTATAAGTTCTCCCCAGGTGTTAGACAGCCAGCCAGCAGACATCGGTAAGATTGGAACAGATGCAAGTGTCCAAGTCCTCTCTGTTGGTGCTTCTCAGTGTTTCTGGCATATCTGGGACTCAAGCAACGCAAGCACCATATCTTTAGGTGTCAATTAAGAACTATTTTTCCTTTTGTTCCAAGGAAGCAGGCAGATCAAGATTTGTGCCTATCTCCCATCTAGGCTCGAGCTAGTGTACAAGTACCGTATACAATTGATCACATGAACATTTACATGGACTTGTATGTGGAACTTGTGGCCTGGAAATGTTCATTCCTTATCTGATTCTGTTCAACACAGTGCAATCAATGTTTACACTGCGGTGTCAGGTTTAAACATGTGTACATGTACATGTATTCACAGTACACATGTCGTGATAGTGTTTTCACCATACATGTACATGTACAGACATGTAGAGTAGGGCTGAGTCAATTTGAGTAATTCACTGTTTGAATGTTCGACCTTCGATTTTGTTAAATATCTGAATATTCGGTCATACCGAGTGGCAGATTGATGAACAAACTACATGTAATGTACGTGTATGTACAAAATCAGTTGCAACAGCACACACAATTGTACATTATGGTCAGTACAATAGATTCTCACATCTAGGAGTATCTCCAGCCATGATTTAGCAAGATTTAAGAGACGAACAATACATGTACCTCTTCCCCTGTTGAAAATTTCTATTCCTTTTTAAATGTTTTAACCCTAACACTCCTCAATCCTCCAACAGGTGAAGGATTGAGGAGTGTTAGGGTTAATGAACAATTTACTTCTTGAATCGTAAGGTGTCTGTCGCTTTGCATTTGAATCTGTTTCATAACAAGCCACCATAGTACAGTTTTTCCCATTTAAAACAAAAGAAAATTCTCCCTTCCTTTTCAAGCATTTTGCATTCAAATATTTAAATTTGGAAAATAATATTTGAATATTCAATAATAATATTCAGATATTCGGCACAGCCCTAATTACAAGGCACATGCAGGGGTATGTATACATACACTGTCTGCCATTCATATGTGTACATACCAGGACCTGTATGAGAAATTCATGGCTTTTTCACGCCTGCCGTGTCTGTAGATAGAATTTCAGAGTTCACTGCATGTGCACGTAAATTTGCCCACATCTAAAATTGTCAATGGGCTGTGTACTGAATCAACCACCAGCTGCCAGTACCTTTGGTGTAGAATCCTATAGATTCTGACAAAATCCCAGAGATTCCAACAGATCTTACAGATTCCTAAACAGGCCCTTCGAGTTACATGTGAAAACTGTCAGAAAGCTGTCCAAAAGGTATCAGCGTATGTTTTTTGGTCAAGTACATACATGTGTGTGAATAAAGAAAAAACCTTAACAAAACAATTCTTTTATTTCCAACAGAGCTGCGATTTCAGTACGTATATTTCACCATGGGACTCCAGAAGCAGGCTGACATGGTCCAGGCCAATCTCTTCAAGTACTCGCTAGAACACATCCGCTGTCGACACCTGGTGCTGGAGAGGCTGGGCGTCTACCAGCTGCCCAGCAAGCCAGGCGGCACGCGGGCGGACAACCCCAAGCTCTGCCGCATCGTCGACTGCACTGATGCACGGTTTGCCCAAAAGTGCGCCGGGATATCCCCAGAGGAGTATGAGACCTTCCAAAGGAATCTGGAAGATGAAGCGAAGCGGGACGACGAGGGGGATACGGAGGAAGAGACGGACGAGGGCTTTGTAGACTATGACCATGATGACGGCACAAGGCACACATCATGAAACTTGACCATGCACCCATTCATGTATCATGTACCTCAACAGAACCCTCCAGCTTGCCAAGTGCAGACTCTGATGATGAGGCTAGGATAATTTGAAATGATTGAATATTCAAATACTGGTATTAAATTTATTATTTATTAAAAAAAGATTGAGGTACTCGGTTGCATTAAATTCCCTGGACCTGAAGCAAAATATACGTTTTTACAAAAAAGTAAAAGTCGAAAATCTTGCAGGAAACTTAATTTTGGCCTCAGTACTGGGCATTACGAATTTAGCTGTCTTAAGTTGACTTAAATAAGATCGTGACCTTGAAATGTGCTTTTGACCCTAACACCCCTCAGTCCTCCAACAGGTGAAGGATTGAGGAGGGTTAGGGTTAAAAAGCCATTTTGTGACCAAGCAATGGAATACTGTATGTCCCATTCTTACTTCCTGATTTCACCGCTAAGTATGTGTATTCAATTTTGAAAATAAAACATTGGAATATTCTGTGATTAACCCTAA